GAGTGCGTGCTCACCTCGGGCGCCGGCGGAGTTAGAGAAAGGGGCACACGACGTCGAGGTCGGGGACGGGGTCGGGGTCGGGGCGGCGGGCGCACGGCGGAGGGCGGCGATGTAGGGGGGCGTCGAGGTCAGGGTCGGGGGTGGCGTCGACAGCGTGCGGAGGGCGACAGGAGAGCGCGCGCGGCGACTGGGCGACGGCGGCGGCGACAGCAGACGCGCGAGTTCGATTTGAGGGAAATGGCCGTGAGAAAGAAGAACTGTGCGTGGTTAAGTCAAAAGTAGCAATAGTGCGTTCCAAGAAAAGCTCTACTGCTACGTTAGCTATAGCTAAGTTAGCTATAGCGCTGGATGGCAACATGCCCTACTGCTAACATAGCTATAGCCCGTGTCCAGAAAGCCCGATGCTGCTATGCCTTTCTTCTTTATTTTTATTTTTCGTTTATTTACATTCACATTTTCGTATTTCCTTCCTTTTTCCTATTTCTTTTATTTTCATTTATTTTTCTATATTTTTTATTTTATTTTTCTTTCCTTAGCAGTAGCGCTTTCTGCGTAAAACACGCTCGTACAATAATCTTAGCATCATCGCGCTTTTCTTAAGCACGCTACTACTATTGGTAGCCTGTCGAGAATAGTCAGGGAATTTTAGTAGTAGCGCTTCTTCCGTGAGACGCGCTACTGCTACAAACTTAGCTGCAGCGCGTTTAGTTCACATCCGCTTGTGGTAAATTATAGTAGCGCTTCTTTTTAGCCCGCGCTACTAGTAAATTTATGTGTATAAGGTTTTTCCTAGTAGTGTTTCTTCATTGTTGTCTTGTGGAAGTCATTGCTACATTACTTTAAAGGACATATGTATGCATTGCGTTTGTATCATCTTGATGCATTATTTTGAGGTAATTAAATGCATTTTGGTCAAAAAAAATATAACTAGGATCTACGCCATTTGTTTTATCAGGACCGTCAAATTAGCAAATACGGTCCCGTACTTTATGAGGGGCAGATGCGTGGGGTCACAAAGGTAATGTCCTGACAATGCACCAACCATATAGAGTAATGTCCATTGTGATAGTATCATTGATTAACGTAATGAGTAACATGGGAATTTGTCATTGGAGATAGGGTAGGAAGGGACTCAGTCCCCGTGAAATTCAGGGAAATGGCAAGGGTTAGTTAGGAAGTTTATGTAAACTGTTCGTGCCTGCCCGGACTGGGACCAAGTGACATGCCTCTTGGCAGTCACAGGGTAACATGCAGCTAGCCATCTAGCGTTCCTTTTACATCCAGCGTGTTGACATATAATGTGCTGTCTAGTCTCTTCAATCAGATCGGTCTTTTGGTTACATTGGCTAGAGCATGCACTTCTACATGGTATCAGAGCCAAGAGGTCTCGAGTTCATGATCGGGCTGACGCAATTAAATTGCATTCCACTTTCGGTCCACATTTAGGCCTGAGGGAGCCACACGTGAGGGGGAGTGTTGACATATAATGTGCTGCCTAGTCTCTTCCATCAGATCGGTCTTTTGGTTGCATTGGCTAGAGCATGCACTTCTACACAACGGCTACCAGCGACTAAAGTGAAAAAAGCTACTCACTCTTACGAACGTGGAGTTTCTGCACCCGAGCTCATTTGAGCTCGGGTGAACAGTAAAATCAAAAAAAATCAAAAAAACTTTAAAAAAATCCATTTTTTTTGGGATAAATTGACAAAAGTTTTAAGTGCTTGCAAAAATTCGTCATGAAATCACATTTCTATAAGGCGTGGCAAAAAAACAAAATCGGTACTCCGAAAATGCTACTTTCAAAAGCATTTTGGAGCCTGAATTTGTTTTTTTTTTTGCCACGCCTTACAGGAATGTGATTTCATCATGAATTTTTGCAAGCACTTAGAACTTTTGTCAATGTTTCTCCCAAAAAAATTAGAATTTTTTGAATTTTTTTTGATTTTTTTTCGATTTTGTTGTTCACCGAGCTCAAATGAGCTCGGGAGCAGAAAGGCCTTTCGCTCACGCTTTGCAGTTTTAACCTGAACAGGCAACAACCGAGAGCTGAAAAGTGATTTATATGAGTTGTTTTTCTGAACAGGAACAACTAGACTCAACGGGCAGGGATATCGAAGAACTGAAAACTGAACAATTTAGTAACACTTGTCATTACAATTTACAAGTAATTAGTATAGAAATTCTGTAGCCAAATATGTTTAAATATACGCATGTTTTGCAATTTTTTATTTGGGTCCACACGAGAAATGTGTCGGATACCGTTGGATACAACGGTCGACCCAAACGAAAATGCGGACACACCTGTCTGCTCAGCTGACCCAAACAAACAAAAAGCAGACAAAATTCGCGTCCATTTACGTCACTGACCCAAATGGACGCCCCTTTTTGCCAAGGTTCTGCCCGTTTGGGTCGGCCGAGCAGACGTATTTGTCCGCTTTTTCATTTGAGTCAGCCGGGCGGGGCGTAGGGAGCGACGAGGCGAGGCCGAGCGAGGTGGTCCGGCATGGCAGAAGCGCGCTGAGCGGCAGAGAGCCGGGCCTGACAAACACAATGCGCGAGTGAGGTGGTTCGGTTGGGCGACGAGGGTGACGAGCGCGTCGGAGCCTGAGGTGGTCGAGCGGGCGGCGAAGGCGGGAGTGCGTCGGAGCCTGAGGTGGTCGAGCGGGACGGCGAGTGCATCGGAGTTGTGCGCCGCGAGGCGCGCCTCGACGTCGGCGCAGAGGCGGACTGACCTTGAGTAGCGCCTGAGGGAGGGATGTCGCGCCTGGCCTTGAGTGTCGCCGGAGGGAGCGTCGGAAGGCAGTGCTGTTGCGCCTGGAGCTAGCTATAAAATAAGGAGAAAGAAAGGTGGGTGGGTGACAAGTGGACCAGGCCCGAACACAAATGACGTGCTGGACACAGAAAACCATTGTGTCCACCTCAGATCCAAATGCATTTCAAATTTGAGACGAAAATGGATCCTTGCGGACACAAAATAGACACAAAATAAAAATGGGTCTCTGCGTTGGGTTGTGTTTTTATCCATGCAGATCCAAACAGACAGACAAAATGAATCACCGTATTGGAGTTGCTCTAACAATTTCTTGTCCCCGCTTTGGTCGCTTATTGACGTGAGCCCGCCTACTCCTCTTTTTCACCGCGTCGTCCCATTGCTCTGAAATGGCTAAGTGTTGGCCTTTTTCGCTTTGCTCGCTGACGGCCGTTCGATAGAGAAGGAGCGCTGGATGGCTAGCCGCATGTTACGCCCTGACTGCCAAGAGGCATGTCACGTGATCCCAATCCTGCCTGCTCATACATGTAGGATTTTCGTCTAGTAGAAGACAAATCAATTACCGTGCTAGCTTGCCTAGTGCTAGACCACGAATAATTGGCGTGGCGCTTTGTTTGGCCAACAAGCTCAAGGACGACCTAGTATTTTTTATATTTCTTTTGAAACGTGGTTCCTTATGGTCCGTTCATTAAAAAATGTCAAAGTCCAGTCAATTAATCAAAATCAGACGAAAATCATCAAAACATCCGCAAAAACAAGGCACAAAAGACGACCTCGCAACCCACACAAAAACACACCCACACGGTTGAAGAAAAAAGCGTCATTGAGATTGCAATCCGGTGTCGTCGTCATCACACCTTAGTTACGGCGACACCGACTCCACCCTCAACGACCACCGATGTAGCCCCCATCACACGCCGAGGCCTGCGTCGACCGATGCCAAACAGTCCACCGCACGCGCTGACGACCATGTAGATCCGACTCCGATGAGCATTGCAGGGAAAAAGCGCCGGCCTGGGCCAAGCTGGCACTGAAACCGACCACCCATCTTGTGTCATTGTCACGGCAGAGACACCTTCTCTGTAGCTCCGACCGACTCCGTCTGAAGCCGCCATCGTTGCCACACAAGAGGACGACCTAGTATTGCGAATGTCACGTGTATTTTGCTTAATGATGTGAGCAATCAAGCTAAACTAAAATTGCATTTTGATATCTTACTTCTGGGAATGCCTGGCGCCACTGTGAATGGCACAACATGCACGCCTCCGGTTGTCATTCACTCTTTCAACGGCTTCGCTGTTAAGAGTACACACTACACAGTGAGGCCGGGCCATAACCGATCGACATCTCGTTCGTGCGTGCGTGCTGTTGCATCGATCGTGTATAAATAGGCAGGAAAGCCAGTGCTTTGCTCCGACTCACTCACAACTAGCTACCATTCCAGCTAGATACACTATGGGGGTGAGAGTAGCCAGTGGCAAGGCTCTCGTGCTACTAGTTTCAGTGTTCATCATCTCCGCCGGCGGCGGCATGGTTATCTCGCCGGCGGCCGCGGAGGAGGTGCACCTGGTGCCGGCGGTGTACGTGTTCGGCGATTCAACGGTTGACGTGGGGAACCTCAAGTACCTGCCGGGGAACTTCACGCTGCCGTATCCTTACGGCATCGACTTCCCGCTGGCGAACTCCTCCAGACCCAACGGAAGGTTCAGCAACGGGTACAACCTTGCCGACTGCATCTGTACGTACGCGCAGGCTCTTCTTCATCGTGTCTTTTTAAGTTTGAACTTTGAACCCATGAAACTAAGAGAAGTATGCAAACTGAAATGCAGCGAGGCTGTTGGGTTTCGATATGAGCCCGCCGGCGTACCTGTCGCTGACGCCGGAGACGAGCGGTTAGATCCTCAAAGGCTTCGGTGGAGCCAACTACGCCGCCGGTGGATCCGGCATTCTCGACGCCACCGTCAGTGCTGCTGCTTCTTTGCGCCTCTTTTTGTTCCAAAGACATGTTATCCAGTTAGAGTTGCTTTTATTTTTAGATCCGATTTATATTCACATTGATCTATCTTTTTCCAACAAATAATTGCATTAGTTTGTCTATATGTCTGCATCTGAGTTCTAGTAACTTTTACTAACATCGTTCTTGTGTCGTGTGCATCGATTGATTGACCAGGGGAATGCCTCCCTCCCGCTGAGCAAGCAGGTGGAGCTCTTCGCGGCCACCAAGGCAAAGATGACAGAGGACAGCGGCGACAACGGTGCCCAAGCCATCGACGCGCTGCTATCCAGGTCCCTCTTCCTCATTAGCGACGGTGGCAACGATATGTTTGACTTCTTCCTGAAGAAACGGTCGCCTTTTGAGGTACCGGCCTTCTACAAGGACCTTCTGTCCAACTACACCAAGTATGTGAAGACGCTGTACGGGCTCGGGGCGCGGCGTTTCGGTGTCATCAACGTGGCTCCCATCGGCTGCGCGCCGGCGGCGCGGGCGAGATCCCCGTTCGGCGACGGCTACTGCGAATTTTTTTCCAATAAACTCGCCAGGGACTTCGACAGCGCCTTGGGCGACGCGATGGCGAACCTCGCCGCGTCGCTGCCCGGGATGAAGTACTCCGTGGGGAGCCCCTACCAGCTGGTGGAATACTACACCGCGCACCCGGAGGCCGCCGGGTTCAAGGTTGTGAACAGCGCGTGCTGCGGCGGCGGGAAGCTCAACGCGGAGACCCTCTGTGGCTCCCCCAATACCACCTACTGCGCCCACCGCGACGAGCACATGTTCTGGGACATGATGCACGGCACCCAGGCCACCTGGATCAAGGGCGCCGCGGACATCTACGACGCGCCGGTGGAGCGAGGATTCACGTCACCCATCAATTTCAAGCAGCTGCTTCTTGATGACGAACGCGCAGTGTCAGCTGCTAATTTGCTTGTGAGTGTGTGAGTGTCAAGCATGTTGCTGTTCTATGTTAGCAGTTCTGTCGTGTTCATTTTATCCTTGTTTCTGCGTCGAGCACAGCAGATGTGTTGCATGTGCTCAGTTAGTAGTCCGCACGTTTTGTTTCTTGCAAAATAAGGAACCTGACACGTACTTTGTTTGCGTGGAGGTGCGTCGTAGAAGTGGGGTAGATTGTTACAATCTCTTCTTTGGATGGCATATGCCGGAAATAGATTGTCAGAGCTTCTACAATTACAATGGGCTAATTTGGTCGTGTTTACTTTAAACTAGATGACCTGGTTGCGCCAATGGCGCAAGAAGCGAATTAGAAGCGATGATGGTAGTGAGTAGTCCTGGCCATGGGCAGCCCGGCCCTGACGGCCCGACCCGGCCCGGCCTTGTCCACGGGCCGGGCTCGGGCCTAGGTTTTGAGCCCGAAGCACTGGCCCGGCCGGTCCCGGGCCCGTTGTTTTCCACGTTTAAGGAAGAGGCCCAGCCCGTGGCCCGACGCCCGACGGGCTTTTAGCGTGATGGGCCGGGCTCAGGCCCGATTTTTAGGCCCGACAGGCGGGCTGGGTCGGGCTTGGTTTTTTTGCGTCGGGCTTTGGTTGGCCCGGCCCGAGAGCCGGGCCTGGGTTTTTTGCGTCGGGCTTTGGTTGGCCAGGGCCTGGGTTTTTTGCGTCTGTTGAACGATCACCGCCAGAGATCACCATCATACTACACTGCCATAAGAGGAGCTTACCAAAGTAAGCTGACTAAAAATTAAGAAAGAAGAACAAGCGAAACATCGCAAGACAAAACACTGAAAGCACCAACCTTCTCATTGTCACTTGAGCCCCAGTGTACTGTCACATAGTCGGTTCTTGGGTTCCCTTGGAAGTGCATTTGAAGATGAAAGCATATGCTTGACCTTCCTCCATGTGCGCCTGATGGAAGAAGTCGCTCTAGCCTCTAGTGATGGTGGCCCTTTTGTCAACACCCTTGATAGCGCAAAGGACGAGAGCAAACCAAGCTTCCAAACCATGAGAGTAAGAATATTTAGAGACTGATCAATAACTCCTTGTAGCATAGGGAAATAGATACAGGTATGATGTTCCTACATAGTGTTATATATTACGTTGAAGGTTGGTTCATAGGGTATTGGATACTCTTAGCAGTATTGAGAGACATCCAATAAAAATTCAAAGTACATATTTGCATCAATCAAATATCTGAAGAGATGCATAGAAGGAAATGCACATACAACTTCACGGTTTTTTATGGACAAAACGACCCACATCTAGACCTAAACATCACCCAAGGATGATACATGACACATGACTATTATTTCAGAATATAGAGCAGAGAGCCTATTAATAGTGGTATTCTAAATCTCTTGACAGCACAACTCGTGCAAGAAAAATGAACAAAATAAGACACTGCAATTCTCTCCTGAAGGTGAAATAGTGCGCCATGCCCCCTTCCCACGTTCTGTAAACATAAACAGAAACATAAAATGCTTGACATTCAGACTATCGGGGTGATTTTCTTTTGTATTGGGTAAGACATTGCATCAATCCATCATCTATTTGTGAAACATTTTACAACATTCATCCCAAACATCAGGGGAGGGGGGCTGTAAGATTAGTCACATGCTACTCAAATACTTGCGCATGTCGAAAGGCAATAAAAGTAGCCATTCGGGTACCACACCGTCGTTGTATCAATCCTTATTACTACTTCAGAGAAAAAGTACATCATATCCTCAGGTTAGCCGGAACCCTCAGGGATCAGGACAGCGAAATCTTCCGAAGGGTTTTCGACATGTAAGGTCAGAAGAATCTTATTGTTCGTTGGCCTGAAAGGAAAATGTTGCAAGGATTCAGTCAAAGATAAAGTCTGCCCCATGGCCACACACACACATGCTCAGTCACGAACATAGGAGTCAGCCTGTGAGAGGAGCTCAAATACATACAGAGATCGATGGTTCAAGCAGAGCGACAACATGTGTACAGGTCAATTACACAGAGAAAATAATATAGTGGTTACTTATCTGAAGTGATAACTCATAACATTTTACTCATGCTGCAGGGCAGAAATCGTTGCATACTTATCAAATTCGGTTACTGTTTCAACTGAAAAAATGCAAGCAGAATTCACAGAAGAGATAATGTCAACCAAAATTATATGTGAACGTACATTAGAAACTTACATGGAGATGTAATGCGGAAGCAGAGGCGGCTATACCCTTCTGAGAGGCTTATAGCTGATTCAACTTGTTGGTGACTTTACAATAATAAGCTCAATAGAACAATATATATGATCAAATTTGGTATCGACTAATGGACAAATAATCTTTTTTCTGTAGTTTACAACTGTACGTGCTAATCCATCTTAGCACTGTCCAAGTTTCTACTGTATAAACTGATTTGATAGTTTGATACCAACGACGACTATAATAAAAATTCATAGCACTGTATCAGCTACTAATCAACTCTATTATTGTTAACTTGGTGCTTACGGAAAGCCAAATACGATGGTTTTGTTGCTTCAATTGAAAATATCATATCAAACTGGATTGAAAACATATTTGTCCACACCTGATTAATTACTAATGAGATTGTAGGACGTTTGGTCAAAGTACGCTTCAATAGGATATATTAGATCAAACTGGACTAAAAACATATTTGTCCACACCTGATTACTAATGAGATTGTAGGACTTTTGGTCGAAGTTATTAATAAGATTACACTGGTGAAAAAACTACAGTTTTGACCATATTTGATTGATCAAGAACATGGATCTTCCTATCTTGTCTTCACAAAGACCAGCAAAACAATGCTTCTCATCCAAGGTAACTTTTGAGAAGTACATGGACATAGAGATATATAACAGAAACTTCATAGAACAAATATGGTTATTTCAACGGCAAAGATAATGTGTGAGCGTGCTGCTGCTCATCTTAACACACATCGGTTATCCAGCATGCAAACCATGGTATGTTAGGAATGGTCGTGTTACACACAACATATTGGTGTGGTGATGTAGGTGCGTCCTGTTTAGATTCACAGCTTCGTATGTACCTGGCCAATTAACTAATCTATGTGAAGCTATCTTGATCCTTTTGATTGTGTGGACACATACATTGCGATCAAAACAAACCAATCATAGAATCAAAGAAAACCCAGTCTAGTGACTATGCAACACAAGGAAGTACTGAAGCGCTTGCCTTAAATCTGAAGGCAGGTCCAGGAGTTGTGTGTGTAGTTGATAGACTGAACTGGGAGCGGAGTCCTTGTCATCGCCGTTGTAGAAGAGGATCCCGCTGCACTGCAAACACTTGAGCAGCGCCAACCTTAGTTGTGCTCCGACTACGACCCGATCTGCATGACGTATCGCGTATGTGAGAAGATTTTGTTAACTTAGAAAATCAGAATACTATTGTTAGAGTGCAACATTATTTCAGTTTACTAAAAACCCGAACATGCTTGATCATTCAGAACTTCTTTGGAAGTCAAGTTAAAAGTCCAGGTGGATTAATCTTCTTAGGATGAGCACTCAAATATTCAGTTTGGAAGGCTCATCTGTACATATTAATTCCACTCCATATAGAAAGCGAATGGACAAATATCAGAGAGTTAACTATCTTTTAGCAATACCTTCTCAACAATAATGATATGAAGTTCTAGCACTGAACAATCCATGTCCAAATCAAAAAAATAACAGCAACACAAATAACAATTTCTCTATCCTAGTATCAATTCTCCACTATCCAATCCATGTCCAGATCAAAACAATCAACAACACAAATAACAGTTTATTTATCCCCAATATCAATCAACAAAAATTTGTAGGAATTATTAAAAGAAAGGGAGTGAGACAGAGAGAGAGAGAGGGCACAGAGGAGAGAGGGGGAGTACCTGTGTGTGAAGGGGAGATTGGCGCTGCCAGGGCCGGGTGCCGCGCACGGGAGGTCAGCGGCGAGGCTCCTGCAACGAACGCCCCCATGGCCCGAGGCCCTGCGTCACGAGCGGAGGAGGCGGCGGGGATATTCCTCCCCAGACGCCCCCACGCTCTCCTCCTCCTCCTCCCCCGTCTCATCCACCCCTCCTCGTCCTGGATCCCGCCGAATCCGAGGCTTGTGGGCGCGGAGGCGAGCTTCTCCGGCGGCGGCGACGGCAGGAGAGGAGACCATCAGACAAGATGACCCGTATTTTGGAAGGCTCGTCTGTACATATTTTGTGTTTACAACATCAGACAAGACCATCAACGCTCTATCTTATCTAGCTAAGTAGGAATCTCACATCTGGTTGCGCCTCTAAATATAACATGGAGGCATAATAACATGATGGTTTTTGTCAACTAATATTGATGGTTCTCGCCAAATCAACACAAACTCGGCAACAACATGTCCAGAACATATCTATGTCATGCATTGCCTAGAGAAAGAAAACATCCAACAAGAGAAACTTGTGACCCATCCTAAAATTCCTACAATCTGAACGACATCAGATTCAGCACAAGATAAAGTGTATATCTTAATCTTATTGAACCAAAAAAGTAAAACAATAAAATTGGGAACATTGTATATTAAAAATATAAGTGTGGAAGACGGTGCCATTCTCATCAGCATCGACCAATTTTGCGTAAGTAAAAAAATATCAAACATGGGAACCTTATCACCCATCCTAAAACTTGGAATCCGATACACGAAGAACATGAGACACATGACTACCATACATCATATACAACATGAAGTTATTTTTTTTTGAGAAACCATGCATCTATTGCCAACAAAATGGGGGCTTCTCATGTACATCAGACCAACAAATGCAACTGCCATTTTTTAAGTATTCTGGTCTCACTGAAGTATTTTGGAATATTGAATTATTTCCAGGTCTTCTGTGATATTTAGGCATAGTGATAAACTTTTGTGTCCCTAACACAATGAAAAACAAAAAAATACCAAGGCAATGAAAAGCACTTCTAATAATAAGTAAATCACAAGAGAAAGCTAGACAGATCCA